TTCCCACTGAGCCACTCCGCCTCGCTTGTAATTTAATTAGGAGAACATTTAATCCCTCCGTGCATTTCGGAGACGGTTTTGCGCCTGGCCGGGGCTGTGAGGCTCTGACGGGGAGCCTGTGACTCATGCAGCTTCGCACAGCCCTCCCGGGCGGGCTCCCGAGGGGCTTCCTTGGCACCTCGTGCAGACAGAGGTGGTCTGGAGCTCCAATGAGAGGACACTGGCCTAGAAAGACAAACTAGCCTCATCTGTTCCTGGCAAGCCCCCTCCTTTATCCCCCTGGACGCTGGCCCCAGCAAGGCCTCTCAGTCCTTTCCCACCACGGTTTGCAGGGTGGGAAACAGAAAGGGGCTTGGACATTCACAGACATGCCGTGCCTGGTGCCTCTGGGGTCCATGGGTGTGGGCTGCAGTGGGCCCCCGATGTCTCTGAAATGTCCCAGGCAAACCTGGTACCGCCAATAGAGCTAGTACCCTGGTCCAGGGAACTGAGCTTGGGACCAAGCCTTGTGACATTTGCCCTTGTTTCCAGAAGGCATGGGGCTGGCCCTGGCCTCGCTGACAAACGCAGATTTCAGGAGACGTTAGTAGTGATGTGGATGGAAGCCAGGCCACAGCGGCCTCGCTGGAAAAGAGAAACTTGAACGTTTTGGCGTGAGATTCTGCAGGGTCCAGGAGAAAGTTGAAGACATGGAAATTCTAATTAACGCACACAGGGCTGGTTTTGCTCAAAGATCTCCAGGCTGTCATGTCGCAGGAGGCCTGCGAGTACATGCTCGCTGGGCGTGTGTGCATGTGTCTGTGCTCACAGTCACCTGGCGGGTGTTCTGTGGGGCCCCAGCCTCGGCCCCGCCTTCCCTCTGCCTTTCTTCCCTAGAAGGTTCTTGGCCTTCCCCATGCCTGTCTTGGTGTACAGGGTGCTAACCAGACTCTCCCCCTGCAGAGCAGGGCAGAGAGGTGGCTGGTTAAAGACAGCTGGGTCTTGCCTACCCGGGAGGCCATGACAGAAGAGAGGAGGGGCCCTTCCGGGAGACCAGAGACTGGAATGCGCACAGAGGGTCTGGCTCTGGAACCACCTGCCCGGGGTATCCGTGTGCAACCACCGGGGTGGGTGTGAATGCCAGGCAAGTCCTGGCTGACTCGGCAGCTGTGGGGAGGACTTCCCAACACACAGCCTTGGAGCTCAGAGCCCCAGATGCTGACCCGAGGCCGGTTCTGACCCAGTTACCCTGGCCCTGCATGCCAGCAGCACTGAGGCGCCCACAGCCTCTGCTTCATCTCTTCCTCGGGAGGTGCTGGCTGGGCCCTGGCTGGGGGACCCAGGAGCCATGGTTCTGGAGCTCATCCAGCCTGCGGCTTGAGGGGTGCCAGATAAGGAGAGGCCTGGGGCAGCCACACATGAGGGTCCTGGCAGACAGGTACCCCAAAAGAGACCCAGGCCCCGTACAAGGGTTCAGGGAGCCGGTGCAGAGGGCCTCAGGGGCTGGAGGAGGCTGTGGCAGCCTGGCCTGGGGGCGTCCTGGGCCTCCTTGAAGGGAGGAGGCCTGCGAGGATGCTGGAGAGATGAGGGGACTCTGATGGCTGCCGATGAGTGAAAGGATGTTCCAGGTGGGACACCATGTGCAAGGCGCAGGGGTGGACACGGGGCGGCCCTCCCCACGGCGGGCAAGAGCCCCTCGCAGGTTTCCCCTACCCCCTGCCCTCGATGCCCTGTCTCCTGCCTCACACTCGCTCCATGGCAGCCTTATGGCAGAGCTCAGGGTAGGGGCCCAAGGGCAGATGAGCTCCCTTTCTTCTGCCTGAGAGGTGCGGGTGAGCCTGTGGCCTGGCCATCCAGAGCTGTGAGTGGGTCTGGGGGCCTGCCCATGGAGCTTGCGTGGCCAGAGCCACTCTCTCTCCCCAGCCCGCTGCACCCTGACCCCGGCTCTCTGGCGACTCCCTAGGTTGCACCAGACTGGCTTACTGACCCCCAGTCCCCTGACCCCTTGCTCCACCAATGGCCAACAGGCCCCGGAAAGAGGAGCTTCGCCCAGCCCCAGGGACCATCCTGTAATCAAGGCTGCAGTGACCTCACCTCCCTGGGGCCCCTCGGGCGGGGAGAGCTTGAGATGGAAACAAAATGTGTCTTTATTTATGCTTTTAATTTGAATTCTGGAACTGTCCCAACATGGTAATACGTTTAACATTCAGTCAAATGCTGAAGAAAAATGGATCTGTTTTTCAGTAACTGCCTCCCACCCACTCTGGCCCCTGCGAGACCCCTGTGCACATCCCCAGTCCTCTGCACACGCTCCAGGGTGTGCAGCTCTCTCGCCTGCGTGGAGGCCATGGGGCTGAGCTGCCTGCAGGAGCTGAGACGGGTCCCCAAGCCGCTGGAGCCGAGTTTAATTACAGGCATCAATCAGCAGGCAGGCTGTGCGGGAGGCAGAGGAATGCGGCCCGGCGTGGACACTGAGGCCTGGCCATCTTCCCCCGGCTGCCCTGCAGGCTGCTGTAGCCCGGCGTAAACGCGGTGCCCAGCACTGCTGCCTCCTTCCCCCGCCATGGTGGGGTGGCCCTTGGCCCAGCCCTTGGCCCTGGGGGCGCCTGGGATCTGAAGTCCCACTGCCGTGTCCTGCACTATGCCTGTACCCCACCTTCCCTGGGCTCCTGCAGGCAGGACCCTGGCCCTTGAGGTCAGGGACATGCAGAGCCCCTGCTGTCTCAACCTTGACCAGATCACAGGGCCTTGAGGAGGCCTTTCTGCTGCACACTGTCTCTTCAGCCCAGCCTTCCCTGCAGACCCCTCAGTCCAGCACCCGCCTTCCCAGCTGGCTCCTCTGCAGGGTCTGTACTGGGAAAGGCCTTCACAGGTTCCAGGGCGAGGCCCCTCCTGGGGAAGGACAGCCTAGGCCCAGCCAGCACTGGAGGGAGCCCCTCCTCCCATAACCAACAGACGGCGCCCAGGGAGTGACGACCCAAGGACCACCACAGGCTCACTGGTTGATTATGCCCCAGGCCCACGGCAGGCAGAGAGCTTGGGGCTGTCAGGTCAGATGGCCTCTGTGTTGGAGGAAAGAAGACAAGGAATGGGCAGGTTCCTCTGACTACACAGCCCCACCAACTTGAGTTGCTTCCTGGGGCTCCCTGGGCAGGTGGACTGCCTCTCGCCCCCTTGAAAACCTTGTGCCTGCAGATCCCGGCACACATGGACCTCTCTTCAAAAGGGGCGACCAGGCAAGGCAGCTGTGAGCTTGGATTTAGGCCACCTCAGCTCCCAGTCTTTCACCACCTTCACCCTGGGCTTTCCTGCAAGTGGCCTCAGAGGGTCCTGGGAGCTGGTGAAGATTGCCCAGCTGGATGGGTGATGGGTGATGGGTGACCACCCCGTCCACCCAGGGTGCGATGCCTTATGGGGCTGGGCCACAGGTGAGGGGAGGAAAAGCGAGCTCTGATAGGAAAGAGAGCACCAGGAGGACAAGGAGGGGCCGCTGAGCAGCACAGCGAGGCCTGCGTGGTGTCCACCCACACAAGGGTCCCGGGTCCCAGCAGGCTCTTGGCCGTCCCTGCTCTAAGCAGGCCCTGCCACCTGTGCTGCAAACACCAGCCATGAAACCCCGACTTTCACAAAACACTTGGGGCGTCTCCTGTGCCCCAGATTCACTACAGGCCTCAGCCAGAAGGGTAAGCTGGCATCCTGCCTTGGAATACCACCGACCTGCCTCTGCCCAGCGCCCCTGGTTCCCAGCACGAGTCCTACCTCTGCCCTTGCTCACTTACCAAGTTAGCCTCTTGGGTCATCGCCAGGATGGGCCCAGAGTTCAGAGCCCCACTCCCAGGGGTGGCCTGGAAGCTTGCCTCAGTGCTGCGTCCACGAGGATGCGTAACCCCTGCTTCCCAGCCCCCTGTGCGGCTCTCCCTGCGCCTGAACATGCTTTCTGTGTGTGCCCTGCCATCCACACGTGTGTCGAGCTCTTCGTGAGCCTGGCGGGGCCTGGGAGTATGGCAGGTGTGCTGTCAGATCACGGTACCACCTCGAGACTGTCCTGTCCCCCTCTCGCTCTGGCTCCCTGGCCCGGCCAGTCCTCGGGTTACAGAGCAACCAGGAGGCCCTGCAGTTGGGGTCCTGACTTCCTTAGTCATTTGCAAGGCAAAGGCCACACCTGGCAGCAGCAAAGGCAGCCAGCCTGGGGCCTCACCTCGAGAGAGGTGCACACGATTAGGACGACCTGGAGACCCTGAGTCCAGAGAACCAGATCATGCTTCACTGACTCCGAGGAGAGAAGGAAAGAAGGCCAGCAAGTGACTCTCAGAAGGAGGGTGAGCACCCTGCGCACATCCTACACAAACAGACGTCTCTAGGGGAACCCCCGGTGGGGCAGCAGCCAGGACGGGCCCGAGTGTCCCGCTGACCTGGCACAGCGTCACTGCGCACGGGGTGCCCTAGCTGGGAGCACTGAGTCATGTCGCAGGGGAATCACACCACGGCTGAGCCCCGGGGATTGGCCCGGGGATACCGTGACGGCGGGGGAGGACGGGCATGCGTCCCAGGCCAGCTGTGCCTCGGGGGCAGGCCAACTGGAAGGCGTGGAGAATCAGCCATTTCCTCCACCTGAAGGAGCCCCTGAGGACAGCCGCAGCATCTGCCCCGTGGCTTGGCCAGGGTTCCACAGGGAAATGTGAAAAACAAAGTTGTCTGTCTTTTGGGGGGCAGGGGAGGGGGCTCAGAGAGAGAAAAACAATCTTCTCAGATGCTCAGAGCACGGAAGCAAGTGGAAAATGATCAGTCCGGTTTTCCATAAGTCACAACAAGAGGATCATGTTCCCAGATTCAGTGGGAAATGCCCTTGCTATATCCCCGCGGGGTTTAGCCCCTGGGGGCCAGTGGCCCTCGGTTGCTGAGGGCAGGCAGTGAGTGGTGGGCACTGGGCTAACAGACCTGAGCCCTGGTCCAGCACCGAGGCATCCCCTTTGAGCCCTATGTCCTTTCCACTCATCACCCCTGGATGAGCAGGCACTCACTGTGACACGTGGGTGATGGGAGTCAGCAGCGTCTCCCCTTCCAGGTCCAGGTCCTCAGCAAAGCTGTTGGTTCTCATGAAATGGGCTGTGCTCACTTCCAGCAGCGTGGGACTCTTTTTCACTGTTGGGAAAGATGTGGGGCAGTATGTTAGGCGTGATGGCATAAGGGCCCAGGGCTGCCCAGAGCTTAGATGCTGACTCAAACCTGCCTTCCTCAAACCCCTGGAGCCTTCCCACAAGCGGGTAAGGGACCCACTCACAGCACTGGGGAGGAGTGGAGGGGACGTAAGAAGTCTCGGCACAAGGATTGGCTGGGTTCATGATGGCCCCCATAGGCCTGAGTCCTCAGTGGTCAAGGTGCAATTGAGAGCCAGTGGGAAGGGCCAGGTGGTGCTACTGGTAGAGAACTTGCATGTCAATGCAGGAGATGTAAGAGATGCAGGTTTGATCCCTAGGTCCAGAAGATCCCCTGGAGGAGGGAATGGCAGCCCACTCCAGTATTCTTGCCTGGAGAATTCTATGGACAGAGGAGCCTGATGGGCTACACGCCATGGGGTCACAAAGAGTTGGACACGACTGAGCGATTTATCACGCACGACACCTCCTCAGAGTGAGGCCTGTGGCCGGGCTGAGCTCAGAGGTCTGGGCCTCTCCCCAGATTCACACCAGACGTTAGGGTCGAGAAGAGCTGACAAACACAGATCTGGTAAGACGCTGATGCCCATCACTGTCCACAGTTATGTGGACAGACCCAGAGTGGTAGGACTCCTGCTCATGAAGAGTCGGAGGATGGGTGTGGGGCAGCCACAGAGGCCCTGGCCCCTCACATGCACTGCCTGCACCGCCTGAGGGAGGCACAGAACAACTCAGCAGCCCATGTTAGCGTTCAGAGTCCCGGGCCCACCTGCAGTGGGGTGACGCTGGCCCGCGGGGCTGACTAAGAGTACCTGTCAGTACCCGGATTTGCAATCTGGACCCTTTTTTTTTTTTTTTTTTAACCATTTAAGGTTTGTATTGTAAAATAAGTACTTGTAAAAAGTGAGGCAAGTCAAAGATTCACAAAGCCGTTCCTCCCCGCCGAGGTCATTAGTGTTAACCACCAAGTAGATTCCGAGCTCATCCCTCTGCTCATCAGAGCAGCTGACACCTGGTGGGACTTGCATTTACACACACGTGACGTTCCTGTCATTTTGTTCCTGTCACTCTGCAGCATGCCCATCTCCTTTTTCTACAGGTATGTAGACATGGACCTAAGTCTTACTTCAATAGTTGCGTGACAGTCTGTAGCTTAGATCTGCCACAGTTAACTCAGTCAGTCCATATTTGATGGACATCTGGTTCCATTAGCTTTAAGCCTCTACTTTAAGACAGTGATGCACCATCCATCTTTATGAAAACCTGACACTTTAAGGCAGGTGAGTGGGTGCTTCCTTGGTAACTTTAATAGATGTTGCTGGATTGTTTTCCCCAGAAGTTGTATCAGGCTCGACCAGTAGTGCATGAACATGCCAGCTTCCCCACATCCATGCCAGCGCCAGCCTTTGGCAGCTTTTTTGGGGCCCGCCAAATACAGATGAAGACTGGCGTGCTGTTTTTCCTTCTACACTGAATGCCTTTTGTGGCTCTGAGGCTGTTTGCTTTTCCTCTTGTGGAATTATCTGTTCATATCCTTTACTTGTTTCTGTTCATCAGTTTGTAGGAAAATTTTTATATGTTAGATAGAGATAATTAACCCTTTGTCATTTGGGGTACAGATACCTTCCCCAGTCTACCTTCAATGTTTTAACCTTAATTATGGCTTTGTCATAGGAAATTTTTTATGATTTTGGAGCTATACCTATAGCACATTAAAAAGCAGAGACATCACTTTGCTGACAAAGAATCTGTATAGTCAAATCTATGGTTTTTCCAGGAGTCATGTACAGATGTGAGACTTGGACCATAAAGAAGGACAGGAGCTGAAGAATTGATGCTTTCAAACTGTGGTGCTGGAGAAGACTCGAGAATACACTGGATAGCAAGGAGATCAAACCAGTCAATCTTAAAGGAAATCAACCCTGAATATTCATCGGAAGGACTGAGGCTGAAGCTGAAGCTCCAATACTTTGGCCACCTGATGCAAAGAGCCAACTCATTGGAAAAGACCCTGATGCTGGGAAAGATTGAGGGCAGGAAGAAAAGGGGATGATAGAGGATGAGATGGTTGGATGACATCACCAACTCAGTGGACCTGAGTTTGAGCAAACTCCAGGAGATGGTGAAGGACAGGAAGCCTGGCGTGCTGCAGTCCACGGGGTTGTAAAGAGCTGGACACGACTTAGCGACTGAGCAGCAACAACCACCACCTATCTTTTGCTTTTGAAAAAGGAAGATTTCCCTTTCTTTATCAAAGTAGTACAACTGTCTCCTAAATGTGTAAGTGTGTGTGTAGATTTTAATACATTTAGCACTTACGCCTCACATTGTAGGAGGTCATCAACAGTCAGAAAATGAAGATGTGAAAGGTACTGTATTCAGTTTTACTGAAAAAACTAAAGTAAAACGCAAACTAAAATTTCTTCAAGGAAACATAGGAGAAAACCTCTGGACCTTGGATTCGGCAATGAGTGTCAAAGTGTGATACCAAAAACTCAGTCTGTGAGCAGGAGGAAAAGGAAAAACTGGATTTTATCAAAATTAAAAGCATTTGTTCTATAAGAGACACTGCTAAGAGAATGTAAGACAACTCATAGACTTGGAAAGAATGTTTCATGTCACTTCTCTGGTCAAGGACTTTTTTCCAGAATGTATAAAGAACTCTTGGAACTTGACAAGAAAACTAACAACCCAGTTTTAAAAATTGATTACTAATAAGCTCATGGGGAGATGCTCAATTCAATCAATATTAGTAATTGTTAGGGGAATGCAAATTAAGTCCACAACAAGCTACCATTGTACCCTTATTGGAATGACTGAAAGTTTAAAATGGTAGCAATTTTGGATATTCAGAAAAGAATAAAGTTAGATCCTTACTTTTCACTTTATATTAAGAAATTAAAGTCTGACAATATGGTATACTCATGAAGATGCAGAGCAGCTAGAACTATTCATGTTGCTGGTGGGAATGCAGAATGGTGCAGCCATGTTGGAAAAGGGTTTAGCAGTTTCCTTTAATGTTAAACATATGTTTATCTTGTGACCCATTGGTCCCTGTCCCGGTTATTCAAGTGAATTGAAAATTTATATTCACAAAAACTTGTATATAAATGTGTATAACAGTTTCACTTAAAATTGCCAAAACCTGGAAACAACTAGGTTGCACTTCAGTAGGTCAAATGGTAAATGAATTGTGGTACGTCCATACAATGGAATACTATCCAGCAATCAAAAGAAGTGAACTAATGATTCATGTAACAACATAAATGAATCGCAAATGTATTTTGCTAAGCAGTGAAAGAAGCCAGATGCAAAAGGCCACATATTATATGATATCGTTTATATGACATTCTGGAAAAGGCAAGACTACAGGGACATAAAACATCAATGACTCTAGTATTGGGGAGGGGGAGTACTTACAGGGGTACAGGGATAACTCCTCTGTATGATGATGTGGTGTTGGATACACAACTGCAAGCATTTGTCAAAACCCATAGAACTTACACATCTCCAAGAGTAAATTTCACTATACACACCACACCGCCTACTCCACCCCCTACCCCCTGCCACCAAAATAAGCCTGTTCGAGGATCCAGGATGGAAAGCAGACTGTGCTGAGTGAATTCTGTATTACAAATATATAACACAGCACTGTAAGGAGAGTGGAAGAAGGAGCTGACCTGTGAATCCTTGGGAAACAGTCTTTCATTGGACATAGTTAAAGTGAACGCACAAACACAGTATTCTAGGTGGTAAGTTTGTTTCTCAAGGGGCACTACAGGTGCCCTTGAATAAGTAAATTTATAGATAGTGGGAGTAAGGAAAGTAACAAGAGTTGGGGTGGTGAGTGAACCTGTAATGAGAAAATTCCAGGATGAACTCCTACTTGACACAGACACAAATAAATATAGATATGTGTGCACACTTGGGTTATTTTCATATATACATACTTCCTAGCTCTGTCCATTGAGAGACCCCAGAAGCAGTGACAACCCTGGAGCAGTGAGCACATCTAGTGCCCAGGTCCTGGCTTCTAAATCCTGCATATTCTCCAGTAAAAGGAACCGGGACTCTCTGACAGAATGGTGATTCTAGGGCTAGGGCAGGGGAAATGGAAGATGAGTCTAGAGTACTGTCTAGTGCTAGAAAGAAAAGAAATGCTCAAAAATGAATAAATGAGAAGGATGAGGGCATGTCAAATGGACACAGGAACTAACCTAAAAGAGCTCTCAATCCAGTGTCCAAAGCTACAATAATTTGAGCAACAAAATTATATTAATAATATAACTATTAGATTACAGCTGAAAATATAAATATTCCTGAGTCCATACTAATACAAATTAACAAGTAATTGAAAGAGAGAGATACATCTTCCTTACAGAAGAATTTCAAATAATAAATGTAGAAAGACTGAGGGAAAAAATCACCACTAGAACACCTCAGTATTACTTGCTGTAGGCAAGATCCAGGGACGAATGCTAAAATCAGTAGGTGAAACTTTAAGGAAAGACTTCAAAGGATCTCCCCTCTACTCTTAGTTGATTTCTGTGGTGGTTTTAACATATGTTCACCAGTGCTTTGCCATTCATTCTGGCAGGATAGAGTGTAGCTCCCCACCCCTGGGTGTGGGCTGGAATGGAGACTGCCTTCTCATGACTTGACTGTGGAAAGGGAAAAATGCTAAATATGGCCGGGTGACACCACCGTAACCACGTGGGTCAAGGTCAACAGTACCAGTGATAAACCACGTGGATGTCATGGACTGTGACATGGCATGAGGAGAAGACCCCTCACTTCGTGGCATTCTTCCCCCAAACCCTAGTCTAATCCCGAGAGAACAGTGACAATCCCAAACCGGGGGTCACGACACCTGACTAGTATCCCTAAAAAGTGTCAAGGAGATACATGAAAAACACGGAGGGACTAAGATTAGCTGTCATGGGCCAGAGAAAATTAAGGAAAACTGACTAAATGTAACGACAGATC